AAACGCGACAGCTTTTTCGCATGACTGTAATGTTAAATAATGTTACCATTTTAATTAACTCGTTGTAAACATTACAAACATTAAGTAATATAAACACATAGAATACAACCAAAGTACAATTAATTTAGACACTTAATAATTTTAACTTATAATTATTAACACTTAAAATAACACCTTTTTTGATTGACCTGTTTTTACTAAGATATTAATTCAATTCATGATGATTTTCTCTTTTAGGCTTGTGTATTGTTATAAACATAATATATACTTTAAAAAACAGAAAATTATCTTATAAACTCAAGATTTCCCGTTTCTAGCCGACTAGAATTAAGTTCATTATTATTTGAAGAGTTAATAAAACAATACTTTAATAATTAATTGTTTATACTTTTTATTTATCTATTTTTTTATAATTGTAATACGAATAATTCATCACAACAAAGGATGTTTCCAAAGTAACAAAATCAAAATATAATCTACTTTTTTGTTTTGATGAATACTTCCAAACGGAAGTTTTGTTCAAGTTCTATATCATCCGTTATTTTTAAGTTATTTAAATTTGAAATATTCACAACCAATTTATTTGAACCATTTATCAATCATCACATCTTTTTTAAACAACAAGGTAAAAAATTAATTTATATCAAATTATACAATATGCTTGGGATAATAATATATCTTAAACACAACCATTTATTACAAACGGTTTCATCCATAATAACATTCAAATAAATGAATTATATTTTAAACAATATTTTTTTCGTAAAATTTTTTTGGTGTTTTTATTCATTAAAAATACTACCCACTAATTTGGAATTATTATTCATTACTCATTTTTTGATGTATAATCAAAAAATATATGATAAATAGATTGTTTTGTATTATTGAAAGTGTCTATAAAATAAATACAATCAAAATTACAATTGTAAATAAAAACTTAAAGAAAACATAATATAATAAACACAATTTAAGTTTTTTATATTTCATATATTATTAAACATAAAAAAGAATCAAATTTGTTAATATTTTTATAAATTTTTCGTTTTTTTTACTATTTTTTGTTGTTGATAAAAAACAAACAAATAATATCACTTGTCAAAGTCATACATTTTCACTTTTTGTTTAAATTAAAACTTATAAATCCAAATTCTTTCAGTCAAATAATTCTTTAAATGAATCCAAAATATCATCTTACATCAAAATCGATTTTTTTAAAACATGAAATAAAATTAAAATGTTCAATTACGTGTTTTACACCTTTATATCCATATGTAAAAATTAAAAACTGATAATTTTCGATAAAATAGGATTTTTTGATTTTTGAAATACATTATGTTAATGTATATAAACTTAAACTTTGAATCTGATTGCAAATTAAATGAAATGTAAAAATGTGTACATCTCTGTTCTTGGTGATTCAGGTACTGGGAAAACATCTTTGATTGAAAAGTACATACACAATACATTCTCGAATAACACAGAGACAGAGAAAGATAATGTCTACCTTACACATACATTTTATAAAAAGGTTAAAATTCCTTTTGTTATCCAAGAATTATCTGGGGATCATTTAAATGATAGAATAATGTTCAAATCAATTAGTATTTCTTTGGGATACATTATTATTTATTCTGTAACATCAAGAACTTCATTTGAAAACATTGAAGGATTTACACGCCTTATTTGGAGACTCACCAATATACGTTCAAGCGATGGGTACATCCCAGTCACCATAATTGGTACTAAATCGGATATATATGAAGAAAGAGTCGTCTCAACCTCTGAAGGAAAAGACTACGCCACAAAACACAACTTTGCTTTTTATGAAATATCTTTAAAAAATGATGAAAATGTTGATCCTATCTTCAAGTCATTATTTGAAAACATTTTCACGAAATCAATTGTTAACTGTGAAGAGTTTATTTTAAATACCAAAAATAAACAACAACAAAAAGTTAATCACAAAAAGATGCCTAAAAAGATCGAAAATAATACAAACAAGTGTTGTGTTGTGATGTAATTAGTGTTTTTTATTTCTGTTTATCATAAAAAGCAATAACAAATAATTGTTATATTAATAGTATTCTTCTGGTTTCATTATAATTTAACTAAATTATTATATTTTTTAATATAAAAAATAATAAAAATGAAAAAAGTGTGAGGCACAAAGTTTATTTTTAAATTGTATGGTTTATAATAGTTATTTATTTGTATTTAATATATTATTTTTATACGAGCTTTCATAGTATTTTTTTAGGTCTAAAACATTTTTGTTTTGGATATTTTGTTTATTTTTAAAAAATCCACTTTTTAAAAAACAAACAACATGCTCACCCGAGTTTCAAGCCACTTTTTGTGTGGTTTTATTTTTTTTACAATTCATTATCAAAACAAATTATATATTTATAGTATTTTTTATTTATTGTTTATTAATATTTTATGAAACAGAATTATAAAACATTAGTTATTTTAATAGCCATATTTCCAAAATTTTTGCCAGTATTTGTAGTCTTATAAAATATTTTTGAATTAAACATCGTTTTGTTAACACCACATATTCTCAAAATATACTCGAAACTAAAGCTATTATGGCGTTTTATAAGTATTCTCAAAAGTGTTTTTTGTTTTATCAATTAATAACTTATTAACAATTAATATAGTTTTTATCTAATTCAATAAGTACAAAGCAAGCCAACAACACTTTTGTTTACTTTAGCCATGTTTTCACCTTTTCTAATTTTATTTCTAAATAGTTATAAAGGAAAAAAGCATAAACTTCTTTTATTTAGTATCCAAAAAATGAACACTGAACCAACTCTACAACAACAAGTCCCAAATTTCTTACTTCCAACAGCAAGCTTAGACCCAAAAGCTCAACTTCTAATATCTACCATTGCTGGTCAAATCATGAATCCGGAAACACGAGAGAATGGTCTTGCATTCATCTCAAAGTCAATTGACAACCCAAGCTTTGCGTACGTCTTACTTCAAGTGAACCCACAACTTTATACACAATTTTTATCAAGTGAAGACCCGATGTCATTGTCCTTTGCACTTTTCATCATCACCAAACTCTCGAAGAACAAACTCTTTACGGCACTCTTCATACAACACGACCCAACTCTGTTGACTTCTTTAAAAAATTTGGTTGCATCACAAACGCAAAACATCTTTAAACAGACTGTGGAAGTCCTCTACGCACTCATCACACAAATTAATGACAAGTCTTTCTTTGCAGAATTCATTCCTCCTTTAATCACAAAAGCTTCTTTGGATAAAGAAATGCGCTTGTTGTGTTCAATGTTACTATTAAACATCATTGGTAACAAGAAGAACTCCGAGATCTTCATTGAGAACGGTGGACTGCAAATGGAAAAGGACGTGTTAGAGAGTTGTGAGCCACAAGAGATCAAAATCTTCTTAGAAATCCTCATCATGTTTCATACCGTCGATCCTGAGAAGAATCGGGACATGTTGATCACTGAGGGGTTCTTTAAAACGTTCACCTTCTTATTTGAAAAGATCACAGACAAAGCACAATCGGAAAGACTCTTGTTGTTCGTCAGTCAGTTCCCAACTAGTCCCCTCTTCGCTACTAATTGCATAGAAAGTGGACTCTTCGACGAAATTCTGAGGTTCCTCGACTTCGTGCCCGACAACCTACAAGGCAAAAATTTGCAGCAGACACTCATTATAGTCTTTCGAATGACTCAAGACGTCGTCGGAGTGCAAAAGTGCAGCTCTTTAAAATTGATCATTAAATTGGACGTCTTACTCAGAAACATCGCACAGATGCCAGAAAACATCCAAATCATGGTGTTGGGAACACTCACCAATTTACTGAAGAACCAACAAGCCGTCAAAGAGATGATGATGTATAAGATCTATGTCAATATTAAAAACACACCACCTGCTGTATTAAAGAACAAAGCCATCATCTTGTGGAAGGCTCTTATGAAACACTTTGACGAAGTTGCCGAGATTTTGGCTGTTGTAGATTACACTCAAGATGACATGCAAAAGATAGCGGAGTACAATTCAAAGAAAGCAAAGGCGGCGGCCATTGTCGATGAATTAATTCAGACGGAGAAATCGTATGTGAAACAGCTGGACATATGCACCCGAGTCGTCATGAAGAAACTTGAGAATTCATTGCAAGAGAAAAAGGAACAGATCTTTGGGAATATCCCACAGATCTGGGGATTCCAATTCACATTTGCTAAAGAACTTGAAGACACTCTTTTGGTGAAGGAAGAGGAGAAGCAAGAGTATTCAGTCATCAGTCATGTTCTTTTAAAGTACTTTACACCACAGATGGTTGACCTCTATACGAAATACAGTAATATAGCAGATGATGGGATGGCACTCTTCTCATCATTGTCCAAAACAAATAAAGAAGTTGAATGTGCTGTCCGCGAGTTAAGTGCTCTAGGACATCACGTCTCGAGTTATTTGATTCTTCCCATTCAGAGAATTCCACGGTATGTCATGTTAATAGAGTCACTGATTAAATGCATGCCTGAGTATTTGGAAGAGAGTAAACACCTCAAATTGTGCTATGAAAAGATTCGGGAAATCGGGAAGGAAGTGAACGACAACAAGAGGAAGTACGAGAGCGAAATGGCTATTAAGAAGTGGAGCGGTCGTATTGATTTGAGTCAATTCCCCAACGACGAGAGAACGTTTGTGTTTGAAATGGACCAAGTCTTAATGTCGGAGAAAAAAGACACTATAGTGTGTACTATGATCATTTTCTCTGATATTGCAGTCATCGCCCGCACAGTAGGAAGGAAGGAAAAATGGAAAATTAAACATATTATGAATTTGGACGACTGGAAAAGTGTTGGAGTGACCGATGAGAAATTGTCGATCTTCCAACAACACTCGGGAGTCACCGTTGAACTCTCGTGCTCGAAAATAAACGAGTTGGAATATTTGGAGAACCAACTCAAGGCTGCTACTAAACAGTACAAAATCAATAAATTACATAAACAAGGTGCTCTTTGAGTGTTATGGTTTGTTTTAAGAAGAATGGAATGGGGATTGATAACTAGTATCAATTAATATATTAATAATTAATTAAACTACTTAATTAATTAAAATATTTTAATTACTTTATCTTCTAAAAAAAATATAATAACATGTTTTGTTTTACTAAATAAAAAGTGCACTAACCGGGACTCGAACCCGGATCTCCACCTTGGGAGGGTGAAATTCTGCCCTTAGACCATTAGTGCTTTCTTGATACTCATATTGAAATTGAATTGTATTTGTGTAAAGACTTCAATGTGAAGAATCAAGTCAATTAGTGTTTTGTGAGATAAGCAGCAACGCCTTCTGGTGTTGGTTTCATTGTGTCTTTTCCTGGTTTCCAGTTGAGTGGGCAGACATGCCATGTTCGTCCGAGAACTTGATTGCTTCGATGATTCTCTTTGTCTCGTCTGTGTTTCTTCCAATTCCGTTGTCGTTGACTTGCATGTATCTGACAATCCCCTTTGTGTCGACAATGACATACCCACGTCGTGCAATGCCGTCAGCCGCATTGTACATGTTGTATCTCATGCTGATGCACTTCTTGATATCAGAAACAAGTGGGAACGAAAGCTTTCCAACACCGCCGTGCTCCTTTGGTGCCTCAGTCCACGCCTTGTGGCAGAAGACGGAGTCGACTGAGATGCCAACAAACTGGACATCATTCATCTCCTCTGCAAGTTTGGAGTATCCCATCATCTCTGTTGGGCAGACAAAAGTCCAGTCGAGTGGGTAGAACAACAACACAATGAACTTGCCCTTGTACTCAGACATGTCAAAGTCCTTGATTGCACCACACGGACAAAGGCACTGCGCTTTGATCTCTGGCGCTTCTTCGCCAACTTGCACTTTTGGCACAATTCTCAGAAAGTCTTCATACACCTTCTTTGCTGGACACTCTTTCTCACACATGAAATGTTTGTCTTTGCTTTCAGTTGGCTGTTTATAGAGTGGGTGAGGTGTCACTGACAATGAGTACGATGACTCATTCCACTTCACGTGTCCAGAATGTAATTGTATTTTTGAAAAGATGAATTGCATTTTAATTGTAAATAGATAATATAGTATTTATTTGGTTATCAATATCATACAACTTCTTGAGCAGTTTTGTGTAACTTTTGGTTTTAATTGTTACATGTGTGTGATTGGCTTTTTGTGTTCCCCACAATAATTACATTTCAATTACTTTTGACACATCTCACCATTTCACAATTTGTCATAATCAGAAGACCACATTGCGTTGGAAACTTTGACGCATCATCTCAAAATTTTTTTTGATATTTATAATAATTTATAAATTTTAAATAACAGTTTAATATCTAACCTCAATACAATTCAATTTCAATATGAGTATCAAGAAAGCACTAATGGTCTAAGGGCAGAATTTCACCCTCCCAAGGTGGAGATCCGGGTTCGAGTCCCGGTTAGTGCACTTTTTATATTTATTATTTATAGTTAAGTTTTTAGAAATTATTATAAAAAATACCATGAGATAGAGAAAAATAATTTTAAATAATTATAATTTTTTTTCCTTTGTTTTTTAAATAAAATTTATTTGAAAAGTAGACAAATCAAGTTTTCAATGAAAAATTTGTCTATTTAAACAATTTATTAATGACAATGAAATGTTTACATGTATCAAATGTAATGATTATTATTATTATTATTATTATTACCAAAACAGAAACAAAACATTAAGTACAAAGCAATCGATTATCATTAAAGTAAAGTGTGTTATTTGATGTTGTTGGCCACTCAGAAAAGTATCGAAAAATCATGATTATCATTCAACTTTTTCATCATTGTGGCGATTAGATGACAAATTTTTTTGTTTTTATACCCAACCTTTGTTTTTGACAAAAATATTTTTAATTATTCTGATACTATTTAAACTATACACATTATGAAAATACCAACTAAAAACAAACTGATAAAATTTATAAATACTTTTTTTCCTATTTCTATTTAAAAAATAGACAATTCTAGTTGTTATAATAATTTTATTATAAAATAACTATAGTCAATAATGTATATTTGTGGTACAACAAATAGATAACTGGTTTGTCCTTCATTTAAAAATATATTCTTGAATTTAAATTGTTTGTGGAATTAAAACATAATTTAATTTAAATAACTTTTAATATAAAAAAACAATTTCGCATTCTACTTTACGAAAAATAGATGTGTATTTGTGTTGGATCATGGAAAAAGAGACACTTTTGACTGGTATTGTTGATTTTAAAAATATGTTTGAGTTCATTATCATTTCATTGTATTATAATTAATTAGTTATGTTATTATTAAGTAGATATTATTTAAAAATTGAAAAAAATTACTTAATTACTTTTGGCTGGAATTGTCGCGACATATTGTTATTATTTGTGTATATAATCTATAACATTTACTATAGTTATTTATAGTTTTTTTTAAGTTGTACTTATAATACAATTTATTTAGCCATCAAATAATAATTTGCATTTTGTTTTTATTATTGTTTTAATAAAAATAAATTTATGAAATCACAATGATTTAATTTAATTGTTATTTAACTATAGTTTTATTTAACAATTATAATACTTAAACAATTGATTTATAATTATTAATTTTAATGATACAACTAATTGTTAAATTGAATAAACAATTTACCAGTTGTTTTTGTTTTCAACAGAACATACATTTGATAAACTATTTCACAAACTAATAACATACTTTTTTTATTATAAAAGTCTAAATAATTTTTTAAACATAAAAAATTTAATAAATAATAAATGGTTCACTTTCCAAACTTGATGTTTTAAAAAAACGAATTATCTAATTTGATGAACTTGATTATAAAAATGTGGGTGGGCCATTTAACCACTTTCGTTATGTTTTTTATTGTTTTTTCGAAAGCCAAAAAGTGCCCAACGAGTTTTAGTGATGATAATTATACGATCGATTCGTTTTGTCCATACACCCAAATTTTTGCAATAACTAATTCTTTAATTAATTTAACCAAGAATGGGGAATTACAGGGCAGCGGTGTTACGTGTCAAAACAGCGTTATATTTGGGCAGAGTAATTCGCTTTTAGATTTTAATCTCTACGGAGCTTTTTCAGAAACAAATGTGAGTTTTTTGGATGTTTCGTTTTTAATTAGTTTTGGGCAACTTTCTTTTAACAAATGTAATGTTTTGTTTTTCGACCATTCAACGATAAAAAGTGCCCTAAGTGTAACGTTTCAAAATAGTGACGTTGATTTTTTTGATTATACTTCGGGATTGATCAACACTTCTCTCAGCTTTTTTTACAAAACGAATGCAACAACAACCCAAAACGCGATGATTTATGCAAATTCCATTGAAGTGAATAACAGAGCGTGTTTAAACATGTATTTACAAAGTAACATAACAACCGAAACAGTATTTTGTTTGTACAAAGAAAGTGTAGTGCAACTGTATGAAAAGTCAACACTTCAAACCAAAACTAATGTGGAAATTAGTGGGCAGAGTGTATTAAATGTTTTTGATGAAAGTTCCATAACAGTTAATAAAATGTTATATATCAAAGAAAATGGGATATTACAAATGAACCAAAAGAGCTCTATGAAAGTTATAAATAACATTATGTTCAACACTAATGGGATTCTCAGAATGATGGACCAAACAAATCTTTGGACCACTTTTTTGTCACTCAAAAATTCTTCAGAACTTTTCATATCTGGTCAGTCCATTTTTAGAACGGAACAAAACTCTTATATTAGTACCAAAGCTAACTTGACTTTGGATAACTCCAGTCGGTTCATTTGTACTCAAACCATCACAACATCGGATTTATGTTCGATTACTGTCACAGACTCGGCAATTTTGCAGGCGCGTGTTATGATTATTGACCAATGCAATTTTGGTCTTCTTAAAACAGCCCAACTAGTCGTGACAGATGCCATTTCCATTGGAAATTTGAGTGAATTTAAAAGTGAGAGTAATGCACAAATCATATGCGACACTATGAAAGTTACTAATATGACTAAAGTTATAGTCAATGGGGATAGTTACCTTGTCATACAAGATACATTAACAGTCAACAACGCGACATTTTCTATTAATTCAAAGAGTCAAGTGACGTGTAACAATGTCGTATTGACACAAAATGGTACAATCAATTTGACTGAGAAAGGTACTTTGAGGTGTTCTGACACTTTCAAAGTCATTGAAGACAGTGTATTAGTGTTATGTGGTGAGAGTGTACTTACTGCAAATGTGTTGCAAATTGAAGGCGCCTCACTTAGGATTGAAAATAGCTTTTTGTCGATAACATCACTAAAAAAGTTCAATTGCTTGAGTGGATTTATAACAGTGAATGGACAGGGGACTTTGACTGCGGATTATGTGTATTTGAATGAGTGTACAATTACAGTACAGATGAGGTCTATTATCGACTTTGCTTTATTTGAGACGGGTGACATCACATTAAATACTATCGTTATTGCTGCAAACCAACCATTCGACTTTGTATATTCATTCGACCCAATTACAGTCGACAAAACATCTTTAACAACACATCATTTGAACTTCATGATGAGTAATAGAATAATTCGATATGGTACAACTACACACTATTCATGTCACTTAATGAGTGAACAGTTTACTGATAATATATACTACGAAGGATACTGTCCTTGTGCGGAAGATGGATGTATCATTGTAGCAACAAAACAGAGTTTGGTTGTCAGTCGTGTGGCTCAATTAAATGAAGTTCAAACGACGTTATTAAGATGGTACACCCACATTCATAAGAACTTAAATGAAGTCATCGAAAACAGTGTAATATATCAAGACTATACTTTTAATTTGGGACTAAATTATAATAATGCTGTGGTGATTGATAATGAAAAATTATCATTAATAGATGTCACACAAATTACAACAGAATATGTGGTTGCTGCTACAAATGGATTTGTATACAACAATACCAATTGTTTAATTGGTATAACTGATAACTCAAGCTTTGTTTGTACATTGTTCTATTGTGATTGTGATATCGGGTTCATTGATTCAACAACAATGTCGTGCAAAACGTGCTTCGCTGATAATTGCAAGAAATGCATTTCAAACATTGAAAGCACTTGTATTGAGTGTACCTCGGGATTTATATTGGATGGGGGAATTTGTACATCAATCAAAATAGTAAACTGCCTTTATGAGAGAGGAGGAATGTGCGTCAAGTGCAAAGAACGGTACTATCAAAAGGATGGCAATTGCACATTAATGAATGACAATTGCATCCAAAAAGATGCTGGCATGTGTGTCATTTGTTCTCCACAAACTATGTTACAGAATGGAAAGTGCCAAGACATTACCAACAGTGCTGTTGTTGTGTCGAATTCGATCATTTATTGTCTTCAAGGCTATGCAATACATTCCACAAATTGTGTGCGGTGTTCTGAATTGTTTGAATTTTGTAAATATTGTTCTCCGTCCATGTGTTTGAGTTGTGATGATAGTTATCACTTGACACCCGAGGGGATCTGTACCTCCACTTTCTGTAGTTCTGAAGACAATTTAGAAATGAGTGAAAATGGGCAGTGTACTCATATCATACCCAACTGCTTTAATGGTATGAACGACAAATGCGTAGAATGTGAAGAAGAATACATTCTCAACTCGTACCTGTTATGTGAAAACAGAATTGACCAGGACCATTGTGTTGGAACAAAATATGGGAAATGTTATTCTTGTATGAACGGGTATTACCTATTTAATGAAAGTTGTTTGAAATGTCCGTTTCCTTGCAACTCGTGTTACTCATCCACAAAGTGTTTGTCTTGTGGGGTGGGGTATTATCTAACTGACAACACGTGCAAATCAAATGATTTATTAAAAGAGACATGTGAAAAGATTTCTATCACAGGAATCGGGTGTTATAAATGTAAAGAGGGCTATTTCCGTAATGGCCTTGATTGCCAAAAATGCTCTTCAAGTTGTTCTACGTGTAACCAAGAAGGTAAATGCCTCGGTTGTAATTCCACAAATTTCATGGATGAGAACAAAGACTGTTTGCCACAAAGTGTGTTGTCTGGGTGTGCACACATCGTTGACGAGAATGGGTGCACGAAATGTATAGAAGGGTTCTATATTTTTAAGACAAATCAGTGTCAAATTTGCATTGAAAACTGCTCTTCTTGTATAAGCGAAAAGGTGTGTTTGAAGTGCAAAAATAGCTTTGTTCTATCAACCAACAACTGTGTACCATTCAACACAATTTTGAAGTGTACAAATGCAGAGAATTCAAAGTGTTCCCAATGCTCATTTTGGTACACACCAAACTCTTCAGGAACTTTTTGCAACAAAAGGACTGTGTGGTGGGTTGTGCTCTTAGTCGTCTTCTTCTTACTTTTCATTTGTATTGGAATTATTTTGATAACGATGTTTGGCTTATGGAAAATAAAAGAGAAGTTTGGAGAGCGCAGCCACGCTTCGCGGATCAAAGTGTTCAAGATGAAAAACACTGACGTCACTTTCACCAATTTGAACAACGGAATTTGCGTGAACAAGAAAACAGTCAACCTGAACGAGACGTCGGAAGAAATCCAAATTTTGAGAGAAACGTATCATTTCCTCTGTGTTGGGAATGTGAATAAGAAGACTGTTAAAGTGCAATTTTCAATAAAAGACCAAGAGACCTATTCAATTACAATTGACCCGGAAATTGTGTTGTTAAAATCGAATGAAGCGTGCGAATTTCTTATTGTTTTCACTGCTCTTTGCACGTGTAAAATTATCACGGAAATTATGTTAATATCACAGAAGGTGAATAAAGACGAGAGATGTGTCACTTCGATATCAGTGAAAGGGGAGACCGTTCTTTCGACTCGTCTTAATCCGTTGGATATCGTCACAACGGATAAAATAGGAGAAGGGACCTTTGGCATAGTTTATAGTGGGAAGTACAAGAATGAAAATGTCGCGGTCAAGAAGATGAAGTGTTACGATGGGATATCCGACTTGGAGGATTTCTCAAATGAAGTTGCGATGCTTGATAAGTTTCGGTGTGATTACATTATACACTTCTATGGAGCCGTATTTATACCAAACAAGATATGTATGGTCACAGAATTTGCACCATTTGGATCTTTAGAAGACGTTATTTATAACCCAGAACGTTACAAAACTACTGAGACGATTTATAAGGAAGCTTTCAGACTGAAGATATGCCTTGACGCAGCAAAGGGTATTTTATATTTGCATACAAATGGGATACTACATAGAGACGTTAAACCAGATAATATCTTGGTAGTCTCACTTGATATCAATAACCAAGTGAACGCCAAATTGACTGACTTCGGAGCTGCAAGAAACTTTAATATGTTGATGACTAATATGACATTCACTAAAGGAATTGGAACTCCTGTTTACATGGCACCAGAGGTGTTAAAGAAGAAGAAGTACAAAGAGCCAGCTGACATCTTCTCACTTGGAGTAACGATGTTAGAGTGTTTAATATGGAAGCATGTGTACTCTTCTGATGAGTTTAATTATCCATGGAAAATTGCTGAATTTGTAGTGAATGGAAATCGGGTGAAAAAACCCGAACACATTAAAGACTGTCACTTCGAACTTATTAAGAAGTGTTGGTGCCAAAATCCTCAGACTCGATTGAAAATCGGACCAATTGTTGATACACTCAAACTCTTTTGGGAACAAGAAGAGTGATTTTTCATTGTTTATATTTACTGTTTGTTATTGTTATTGTAACAATAATTTACCAACTATTTACTTATTGATATAACTAAATATTAATTAATTTTAACTAATTTAAATAACATTTTTAAATAACAATAGCATTTTTATTATACAAAATAGATAACCCTATTCCTCATTACCTGCGTATAGCAAAATTGGACTTGATTTGATTTTGTACAATAATTTTAGGCATTATATATTCAATTTAAGACTTTTTTAATCCTAAAAATCAATTGTTGTTATTCAGTTCAAAAATTCATCTCCTTTTTAAAAAACCAGGTGATTTTTCGAATTAAAAATAGTACAATTTTATTAATAAAAAGTATTACACAACATAAACTTTCCATTTCGAACAGTTTTTTTAATTTGTTTTTATAAGAACTGAAATAATTTATGTTAGTTTTATTTTATTTGATCCAAAAATGATGCTCTAATAAATTTTTTAATTTTTTTTTTATAATTACAACTTTTTTGTCATCCAAAAAAATACACATCATTTCTTTGTTTTTCTTTTCCCAACAATTTGATGATGTCGAAAAAAAGAATAATAAAATCGGCATATTTTTACTTGAAAATAATTGTAAATAAATAACTATTGCATCTTATCCTTTAGTTACTAAAAAGTTACA